TGGACAGGAAACGGCTTCGTCACCTTTGCTACTCTGCGCAACAGAGAGAGCCAGCGTGTGAGAGAGAGAACAGCGCCTAGTGCTGTATTTATGGTCGATCTGTCACACCGCTTCATCACAGGATGATCCAAGCTGCGTCCACACCAGCTGGAAGCATAAACGCTTGCTGCTGCGCCGTGGAGAGCAGCTTGCCCAAAGCTAAGGACTCTGTCCCGAATAAATTCCTCGGAAGTGCTGTTGACCGCTAGTGGTGCCATATTGGGAGACCGGCGCGAATTCGACAAGAGGTACTACGTGCACACGCATCATGCCACCGTCAAAGACCTGACGCAGCCATCTGGACAGATTGGGCCATCAGGGGAGCATTAACATGCATTAACCCTGTATGCGAGAGGCCTGGTCCTGCAAGCTTCAGAAGCCATGATCACTTCCCCAAGCCCTTGAGTCAGGCTGCCCTGCCCCAACCCCCCCCCCAGCCTTCCCTCAGCTATCGGGCTATCGGGCGATGGTTTGGACGGGGGGTGTACGACGAATCAGAACTTCGCATGGTCCTGATGAAAAGAACTGTAAAGGAATGATCTATCTAAATTGTAACTGCACCTAGATCACGGAACAACGCTGCTTCAAAGGCAGAAGGCTGCGGCCTCGTTGGTCAACTCCACTTGTATCTTACCCCCTCTTGTCTTTGGCTTAGAATGCCACCCAACCTCTGACAAGTAATTACATCTGTTCCCGATGGAGAGTTTGGTCCTTCTGCTCACGCGTTGGATTTTAAAATTAGGAAAGGGTCTTAACTGCTTAGAAATGAACCTTCTGCACGTGTCAGTCACTGTCAGTCGGACTAGACTAACGCTGAAGTAACGACATGCGATGGCTGCTGCCCGAGAGCTACACATCTCGATTGAATGACGTAGTGGAACCAAGCAGCAGCTGCTGTCCCCAGAAACGGCGAGGTACAAACAACTCCCGTGCTGGATCTCCACCATCGAACTGGTAAATGTTTGATGATAACCTTTCGCAGACATGGCTACGTTTTGCTGCGCTCAACTCCAACAGCTGCATGGCGTGCGACTGCGACGTCATGCAGTGGCGTGCGACTGCGACGTCATGCAGAATCACACAGAACCGACAGCACTGACTCCGCCAAGCATCTGCGCAAAGGAGTCCTCAGCAAACATGCCCCGTTCCTATTTCGGAGTGCGCTGGAAATATGAGGTCACCAAAGCATTGATGGACGTTGACCGAGTTTCGCAGGTTTTCAACATCAATCCGTCCGAGCCGTCCCTGGACCAAAATTTCACCGCGGCTGCCTCAGACAAGATGATCAAGTCACGTGCCAAAGGACGTGCTCTTCTCACGACACGAAAGAAACAGGTACATGCGGAATAGATCACATCCGTGTGTGCCATGTGCAACGCATCCGGTGTCTCACAGCATGAACTGCAGTATCTGTTGCCCATGGCAGGTCCACTGTGAGCCTATTGCGAGCTTGGGCGCAATGGCTTCGCAGCAACGACCTCCTGGTAGGGCCAGAGGGTGGCGTCCGGGTGCTGGCACCTCTCGGAACTCCTCCTCGGTGAAGCCTTAGAGAAAAAGAGCGAGGAGCGGATGCATTGTGTTGGATGTGGGCTATTGAACCTTGAGGTTTTGATCGTGGCCCGTTTGTGCTTGATCTTCACAGCGTTTCATTGCACATGCGCATCGCAGGTATTTCTGTACGGCTGCGGGCTTTCAGAGTGGACTTTGACTCGGAGACTTCGGGCTCAGAGGCTGGTGGGATATGCTGACCCAAGGTACTGAAGACGACGATGCCTTCACCTGAGACCATGCCACCCCAACATGACATGAGATTGCAGGTGGGCACAAAGCCGTCTTCTTGCGAACAGAAGGGCCTTCTGGCGCATTCCTTGGCTGTAAGAATGCTTTTGCCCAGCACAAAAGCAACAAGCACGGCCAACTATGCTGAGGCTATCATGCCGTAAATGAGCGAGTGAGTCCTACATCAATGCTACCGCAGTCAAGCATCACAACGATCGGGCCACGCTCCCCTTGCAATTCCACGAGCGCCAACAAATATATTTCCTGTCGAGGAAACACGAAGGATATCTGAACGAAACATTTTCTGTACAATTTTGCAAACACAAGACGTCTGCAGATCCCGTTCGCCAACTCTTTGCCTACCGACCACCTGTGAGAAAACTCTTCAAATACACTTCGCCGTCGTCCGAGTAAGTCGTGCAACGTTTCGTAAGGTAAGCTTTCGGTCGATATGGTCACTTCTCAATTTTGTGTTGGTCACATACTTGTGCGTCGCTTTCAGCATGCGGCCATTGATCTTTAGGTACCCCAAAATGCTGGCGTAGACCCTCCACAACAGTGTAAGCTCACTTCAAAAGACTGTCAAGGAGCACACCGAAAGTATGCCAAGAACATGCCACGACCTCTCCAAGAGCACTATCACGAACTCCAAGACCACTTCGCAAGTTTTCCGCGCGAGCATGCATGGGGCCGAGGCCACAGCGTGACTTGCAACATCACGGAATGCAAAACCCAGTGAGAATCTAAGCACGTCGAATAGTATAAGATATTCTTACAGATGCACGAACCCAACCCGTCCAAGAACACACATGCTGGGCATTGCCACGTTGTCGCGACACGGAAACGATGCACCTAGGCGGGAACTCGATTCAGCACGGAATCTGCACGGGACCTAAGTCAGAGAACGACTTGGCACCTGAACGAAAGGGAAAAGGCATGCTACTTGCCAAGCTTGGCACATCTCTTGACGATCGCGGGCCCCCCTCAGAAGTTCCTAGCAGACCGGTACCTCCACAAACTTCACACTTGTGCTAAATTGATCCAATGACTCTGGCGATCACAATTACGTACAATGACGACACCATGCAGAGAATGATCCCTAGAGAGACCATCGCAACATTCAGCACAATGGCAATCGGTGTGACGTACAAGTACAACCAAATCTTTAAAGACACCAGCAAGCACCGGAAGATCGTGGATCAACTCCAAGAAGGAGGCAGACTTCACGCACATTCGGCAATGTGGAACTACAACTCTCACAGCAGATAGAGCGCCATGAGTGGCAAAGACTTCAATGAACACACAGCAAATGCCTCAGGGCGAAAGTTAGGAGGGTTTGTTCCGGCTTTCTGGTTCATAGAGCATTTCCTGTTGCATTCCTAGACTACTCTGGAGTATTCTGACAGGCGTGCCCACTGTCTCGGGTAGACTATGCGCTAGTTCTTCCACTTAGACGCGAACCTCGTTAAACTAGTTGCTCACCACTTGGACCCTGAGCTCTTACACGCTTTGACCCCTTGGGCTTCTCGCCAAGCAATCCCTTCGGACCCGTTGCTACGCAAACCAAGGAAACCTAGGTATAAGGCGAAGCACGGTCTGCCGAGTTAACTAGAGAGGAGGATTAAGGCAAGCTAGGAGAAGCCCCCTACCAGTACCTGAAGGTGGTCAAGGCCCAAGCAGTGAACTGCACATGCGCATTGCCATGTGATTGCAGAGCAGCAAACCAAAAGGCATAAGTCACAGCTCTCCTGTGCATCAGGGAATGCTTCTTTCAGCGCTTGCCGCAGACGAAACAGTTGACCTCAAACGGAGTGGCTTGTAAGTTGACATGTGTCCCTTTGACCTTGCCAGCTGGGTGCAACCAAAACCTCAGCCGGACCCACATTTCACCACATTCTTCTCCAAGTGCCAAGGGGCGGAGTTCACGCGTAGAGTTTAGGATCCGTACAAAGACCCGCGGTGCTTTGCCTGGCACGTTGCCGAGTCCGAGGAAGCGCCTCACGCGCCGAGTCATGTCCTCTACCGTCATCGGCGCTTCCAAGTTGTGATGCCAGAAACTTCCACCCCATCGGGTTCCTCCAAACACCACATGCTGGTCCACCACTTGGTACGTTGAGTACGTCATGAAGTCTTCGAACTTCATGTCTATGCAATGGAGGATGCCATCCAGGGAGCTGCGTGTCCAGTCAAAAGGATAGGAGTTCTTTCGGAGTCCCAGGAGCTGGAGTGCGTAAGATGGGGCACAGTAACAGCCGAGACTGATAAACTCGCAGCGGTTCATGAAATCCGTAGCCTGTGGTCCACACAAGTTTAGACATGATCTGCGCTCTTCGGGTTGCATCTCCGGGATGTAGTTGTAGCCCGTCTGAACGCGGGGATCCTTAAGGTAGTTCTCGGACACGACAAACAACACTAGATATCAGGAGTGGAGGTGGCAGGACTCTGGGTCATGGAAGGGACTCTCCCCCCTCCTTCCTTCTAACGTTTTGAACAGAGTCTTTGCAAGTAAAGTGTGTCAATGCTGCTGGGGATCTTCGAGGTGCGCATCCCATGGCTGGTTGGCTACCTGCGCCTGCACCTGTGCCGCAGCGCCAGAAGTGGCGGTCTGCATCCTGGCCTGTCAGTCTAAGACTCCGAGAGTGGTGGGTGGTTTGGAGTCGTATGTTGCGTGCAACTCGCGACGTCTCCCATAACCATCAACAGCATATCAGCCGTTAACTTGACTCAATCTCGCTCATGAAAGCACGGCTGAAGACTTTTCGGGGGGGCGTGTTGCCGTTGCGCACCTGAACGCTGCCATGGTCGACCACGGAGGCAACGGCCGCAACCTCTGCTGCCGCAGCGACGGCAACAACCTGCACGAAAGTGTTTCGTCTGTTGCGTAGAAAACCCACACAGCCAAGGGGGCATCGGTGTACGGAACAAAGTGCAAAGTGCATTTCACACTGAAGCCAAGAGGCTGCAGCTCCGGCTGCGACTGAAGCAGTTGCTGTCAGGGATTCTGGAGTTTCTGTAGAAACCGCCGCCATCAGAGTTGAGATCTTGATTCGGTTTTGAGGAGGAAAAATAGCCGCAGTGCATGTAAACAGGTTGGGACATCCAATCTGCACGGCTCAGGCGTGTGTGTCAATGCGGGTGAAAGGGCTTTGCGGGTTTTTTCGTGGGGCTTGGTGGAACTGGGCCTCCTCATCACGGAACCACCTCGAGGAAAGGGCGCGTCGAATCAACGGTAACAAGGGAAAACTCCCAGCAAGGTTATCATGAGTCACTGCATGCGTTTGGGGCTGGCGCTGCACAGCTCCTTCCCATAGCCTCTTGGAGGTACGGTAGCGCCTGAGCAGCCCAGGGTTTCGCGCAGCTGCGACTGAAAACTGTGGAAAGCTTGGCGGTCCTGAGGCGGGACCCAGAGAAGTTTGGAGCATCATCACGATCAGCATACCTATATGAGAGGAACATGAGTCAGAGGTGCTAGATCTGCTAGGCTTGCGAGGAAACGAACCTGAAGCACAGCACCGCTTTGCTGAGCAAACCAACAAGGACCACACTGCACATCTGCAATGACACCGAAGCTGAAAGCAGGTGGAACCTGGCAGACAACGGAGCACGCATGCGCTGTTCGACTCTGAAGACCTCTAGACCGAAAGGCCAGCCGTTCAAGATACTAGCCCCCTCCCCTCATGATTATTTAGAAGACATGGACATGATTCATGATGCTCCAGGCTCTGCATGATTCAGATGCGGGCATTCTCTACCGCCGAGAGTTGCAAGATTGCTCAAGTTCACCGAGGTGCACAAGCTAGATGGTAGGAAACACTATCAAGCTGTTCTATCACGATGTTGCCAGATATTGCCAGTCATGCATGACTGAAGTCAGAATATGACTCTGCGGCCTCGCTGGTTCTGCGCTCGCTGCGAGCCCTTAGTCTCTGGATTTGCCTGCTAGCAGGTCTTCAGAAGCCATGGGTGTACAAGACGTGGACTGTTCCGTTTCCATACATTCCACAGATTTCTGCCCCCTTATTCGAACAGTCCTTAATAGGGATTCTAGTACCCCCTACTTTAATCCCTTTCTAAAGAATGCCCTTCCACATGTATCCTGGCCAGGTAGGTGGCTTCGAAACCTCGGGCCTGGCGACCCCGAGAAACGGCAAGGAGAGGCCGGCGAAGCGGGTGGAACCTTGTGCACGCACCAACGTTTAAAACCCACATGGGGACATGGGGGTTTACGATGTTAGGGGTACCTTATTGTATCGTAAACCCCCACATGCCTTCCTTCGCTCTGAAGGGCACAAGCCCAAGAAACCCAGCCTTTGCGCAACGAGGGAATGCGATCATGACTGGAAAGATGAGCTCCTTCTTGAAACACGTTCAGACATCGCGCTACTGAATGCTACAGAGGATGTCCTAAACAGAGAGTCGGAGCTCGGCGGGCTGCGGCTGGAGATGGCAGCTGCATGTTCTGCTTGAAGTACAAAGTTGATACGACTGCTGCTTGATGATACGGACGCTGCAGGATGCAGTAAGGCTTCGAATTTTTGGCACATGACAGGACCGGCTGCTGGCTATTGCATGCACGGGCTGCCTATAGGCTATATGGACAAATGCAAAACGCTGCGAAGACTGTGCACATGACTTACAAACCACAGCCATGTTCCTTGGCGCAACAGACATTGTAAGCGGGCAGCGCGATAACCCAGTGAGAAGAGTTGAAAGATGCGATTGGCCTTCCTTCCCTCCTTCCTTCCTTCCTTCGCATGCTGGAGTATGCTAGAACCTTGGAGCAGTAACCCCCGCTGAGCTCTGAAAGGGCGCTGCCACCGCTGAGTGTATACTGAACCAGCGTTTAGTGAGGACGGTCATGCGTGGTGGTCTTGGGGGGGCGCGGGGGTGGGGGGCTTAGGGAGGGTGCGGATGCGCTGATACGGATCGTGAATGCATGTGCAGAATTTCAAAATGATACCCCACACCCAATTCAGACGAGTGTAGCGACAATGAGGAGATGATGACGATGATGATGATGATGACAAGGCGGGCGTGACCTCTCGGGTCGTAACCTTTGAGGGAAAAGGGTTTCTTTAGGGTCAACCCTATTTCCTGAAAGCCGGCGATGACAACTGCATGAGGGTTGGATGCTGTCATGACGATGAACACAAGAGGCTTTCAAAGCCAGTGTGTAAGACCACCAAGAATCACAAACCAACGTTGTCCTCCTTCCTGCGCCTACTTAGCAATGATTTTTGCCGTCCTGCTGCTCAGCAATCGTGTTACGGCATGCTGCCAGAAGTCGAGAGCTTCCGCAGTGGTTTCCGCTTGAAACTTTCGCATGGCCTCGCTTCGCAGCCGCAAATCCTCGTTGCTTGCAGTGTGCAGCTGAAGCAGAAGATCTGGAAAGCTGGTAAAGTAAGCCATGTGCGGCAAACGAGCAATGTCCGAGTATGGAGCCCAGTACTGGCAGCGCAGTGGGTCCACATGTCTCAAGCCTTTCGTAGCGCAGAAGGGTGGTGGATGTGGCCATGAGGCCAGCGCTTCTGAGGCGTTGTTCGACAGGGCCATGGAAGGTTCCATGACCGCCGGGTCTGCTACAGTCCAGCTGAAGGCCCACATAAAGAAGTCCGCTGGCAAGTACAAGGGGACGCCCATGCTGTAGAGCTCTAGAAGCTTGATGAAGTGCACGTCGTATGGGAAAACAACGGCGGCCCGATGCTCAGCCAGCCGCTTGTACCGGTCTTTCCGGCCACTTTTCCAGGCTGGAACTTCCTCGAGACCCACCACTTGCAGCTTCTGGAGCTCCTGGAGCCCTAGGTTCAGTGCATTGAACTCCTTCAGCAGCGGCAAGAAGAAAGGCCGGTGCAGCTGCTGTTGCACCACGAGAATCCGCTGCAGAGTCTCCTCAGAGGCCTTCCATTTCCACCGTGCTGTTTGAATCGCCAAATATCTCACCACTGGCAACTTCAACCCAGTCTGCCACAGCACCTGTGAAGAGCCAGCTTCCAGCAAGGCAGCCACATGTAGGCTCTGACGTATGCCGAAAAAAACCAGGGGGATGGAAGCTTAAGCTGGCGACTTGCAGCTGAAGAAACACCGTGTCACCTTTGCGGGCGTGGCAGGTAACATGGCGCGTTGGAGCACTGTCAGATCCAGACTACTGCCGGTGGCACACTGCGCAGTGAGGCCCTGGCACAGGAATAAGTTCTTTGGGTCCTGTGCCTTCCGCAAAGACAGCGTTCTCTTGCATGTTCTTGCTCTATCAGACTACTAAAGGTGCTGAGGGACATGCCAGTTGACGAAAGTCCTGAAGCCTGCACATTCTGAAGCACCGAAGAAAAAGAGACGGAACTGAACGGGACTTTGTTGGAAACAACGGCTGAGGCTGCAGCCATTGCATCCTGAGATGCGGCTGCACAAAGAGGAAGATGGGCTGGTCCTGCCAAAGATTTGCGCGTGCTGTTTCATTACATGTGCAGCTTTGCAGACAAAGTGTTCTACACATGTATGCTGGCTCTACCCAGAAGCTCTCAGAAGGCTTCAAACAGCAACCATAACTTGTTGGCCCCTTTGCCCTGTCCATCACGCCCAGGATTGGTTTCCGGAAATGCTTGTACAGCTTGCACCAGTAGATCGGAACAGAACCTGACTAAAAACATCGTTTAATGTTCGGTGTTCGCAATCTTGGCTACGTAGAGAAACACTCTCTGGAAGGCCAATGACCAGAGAGCGTGCAGCTTGATCTAACAGCGTTTTGCACAGTAGGAGGCTGACACATGAAGACATCCACCGTTCGGAGGGAACTGCGGAACCTGAAGTTAGTGAGGTGCGGATAAAGAATCAACCAAACATCTTGGTCGAAAGACGTGTTCTCTTGACAAACTCTACCACGACGGACCGACGTTTGACCCGTCACGTTTTCCTGGCACTCAAAATACCAGCAACATTTGCATCAAGCAGCAGGTGGTGGAACTCTCGCGCGAGGCGACCTTGCTAGAAAGGCATGCTGAGGTTGTGCGCGGAGCCAAGCTTCCTGCAGTTCCAGCACACCTGCCATGTCGAACAAGTTGTTTAGTATCAGGACGCCGCCGATGTCCCGACCCACTTTGTCCACCTGGAGATGGTTCAACATGAGCAACTTTGCCGTCATTTTGTTTGCACTCCTTTTTGACAATTCCGCTGTTGCTTGTCATCATGGGAACCCGGTGATGTACAGTGATCTCTGTGTTCCTTTTGTGTTCCTTTGAGTTGGACCGCAGCCAGTCTTACTCAGTACGAGTAGGGTCTACATGAGACCAGTTCAGAGCATGTGTCGATATCCGGGCCTCTTCAAGGCCATCCAGGAACCCAGCTCCAGGTCGGATCTGATAGATCCTCGCTGAAACGAGCACATTGTGTCAGCTGAGGTCAACGCCTTTGCACTTTCTGCACGTGGCGCCTTGGGTGACGAAGAAGTGCCGCAACGCGTCCGTCCGAAAAGCAGACATTGTGGAAGCGGCAGTAGAGACCTGGTGAGGGCACGCTTGAAACGCGCAGCGTGAAAGAAGGGAAGCCGGTTTCGCCCTCTGTGTCGCCCCTGGGGTGGGAGCAGCCCAGGCCCCCGGAGCCAGCATCATGAGCATCGTTGGGTCTTGGTTTCACCTGGCCCCCGAGGCTCACTTCGTTTGCAGTATTGGACGAGAGCCTCAGAGGAGCTTTCGTACCAGTACCATCATGTCATGTCCTATCATGCTTTGTATGACGCCAGCATTGCTAGTAACAACGTCGTCTGTGCCCTCTCCTAGCCCCATGAGCAAGCAACGCGGCCGAGTCCAAAGAACAGACGCAACTGTGACTTCGCAACATCTCCTTTTCATGCACACGTCGCCGCAAGCCCATCAGCCTCCCCCTATGCCCAGCTAGAAGTAACGTCTTTTTCACCTGTCCTCCCTACCCCCTCTTTCGATGAGCACTCCACACCACGTTCGGATACGATGTGGTTGATTGCCCGTGTCACACTGCCATCAAATCGGTGGGATAAGGCCGACACTTACACTCTGTCGATCCACGCGCACCCGAAAGTTCCGGAGGTCTCGGAATTTTTCAGGTGATGTCGCGCGTACCAGGCAGGAAACAGGGCCAGGCGTCTGTCTCGGGGCCAAGCGCTTTGTGAACAAGTAAGCCACTTCTCCAGACCTGACCATCGGCAGATGCGCTTCAAGATTCTACCCAGGCATGAGGTAGGTGTGCAGCAGGTGACTCGGCAGGTGAAACTCCGACTTTGCGCGCTTCCAAGGCTGAAGCATGATGCTGTGCTGATCCGTCAGCCACAGGCGAAAGCGCTGTGGCTCCACCTGTTGCAAGCATGCACGTAGCACGCACATGTTGCTTGAGTTCTGCTCATAGCCGACGGAACCACGACGATGGCCTCATCTAGCAGTCGTGATGAGACTTTGCCACGAGTTATACATCATCTTGTGCCGATCGAACTGCAGAGAGGATGCAACCAGCGGCAGCTAAGAAACCGTAAAATTGCGAAGCTACTTTCGCGGCTTCTCGGGTCATTTCCCCGGATTCATCGTAGGACTTTGGCGAGGCTGTCTTCAATCATGGACATGGCCACTCGGCACACCCTGTTACTTATTGAGGATCCGCTCGAGTGCTTGAGCACGCGTCCTGTGTGCGTGAGAACTTGCTTGCAGAAGCCCAGCTCAGAGGCTGGGTCTGCTCAGGTGGTGGCGTGGTTGCTGGCCGTAGTGCTGGCAATGGTGAAGTGCTGTGATCTTTCCCCAGGCTGCCGTCGTCAGTGGCGTGGCGTCAATGCAATTCTTACACATCCTGATGAGGATATTTCGTGCAATCGTGGGGAGCTGCCTCTGGGAGCTTCGTCTTCATGGGCAGTGGCCAGACAAATGGCAGCATCGCCGGCACAACCTTTGCAGATCGTTGCAGCCATTGCGAGTGGTCTTTACGGTGTTTTGACAATGTGACATGTCACTGTACTGTGCTCACATTCTACCAAGCAGTAGCGAATCGGGTGCCGCGCTTCCTGCGAGGAGAAAGTCTTCCAGTCACCCTCAAGGCCTTGACAGAGAACACTGGTACAGGCCCCCACTCACGCGACTGACTCTTGGCGACTCAGCTGACTCCTGGCATCCAGACTATGAACTCCGGCACTCCTTCCGCGGGATGGAGGAGATTCAGCAAAATGTCCGACCGCCTGGCTGACACAGCAATGGCACTTCGCTACGCAGAGCCGAATTGCTTGCGAAGGAACCTTGCCGGCCAAGGGGAGGAGCTCAAGACCTAAATTTTGACTCTGGGCGGCGAAGCGCGAGTGTGCATCAGCACAAACCTACTTTGAACTTTGAACTCTTTTTGGGCACACGCATCTGTAGAACCGAAGTACAGCAGGTCCTGCCAGGAGGAAACTAATGTGGATGGCCACCGGTCATGCGGCTCAAATCGTGGGGTCACAGGTGACAACAAGAAACAAGAACCACATCGCCTCTGCAAGGGCTAACATCTGCCGACGCACCTCGTTCTGCCGTTCAACAGGGCAGGGAGGTGGTCTGAACTCTCGACTTCAACGGTACAAACATCACCCACCGGCGTCTCCGAAGAAAGCGACAGAATGGCGGAATGTGCCAGGAAGGCCGTCTTTGCAGAAGGCCGGGCAAAGGCTCAAGCAGGGCCGACATTTCGTCGGGCGATCACCTCCAGCGCTGTGACCTGAGTGGTCAGCGCTTCTTCTCATGGTCTCGTGTTGCGTCTTGATGCCAGTTTGCGGGTTGTCAGGTGTGACGCCCTCATGAGGGGAAACTCAGGTCAGATGCACAAGGGGACCGGCAAGTTCAACATTCTTCTTCTTCTTCTTATTCTTCTTCTTCTTCTTCTTATTCTTCTTCTTCTGCTTCTTTCCCTTACTTTAGATCTGCGGAAAGGCTCGGCGATCACGACCCCAAAGCCCCGGCCATGATCTGCCCGTAGGCACTAAGGAGTATCATGGTGTAAGGACATGCAAGAAGGACCTGAAGCCGAGGCAGTGGCCAGACCCAGCAGGCACGAGTCTGTATCCGTCGAAGAGGCATCTGTGCCCTTGCAAAATCTTGCAATCTGACTTTGACTGAGAGAGAGAGAGAGAGAGAGAGAGAGAGCAGAGCAGAGCAGAGCAGAGCAGAGCAGAGCAGAGCAGAGCAGCGCAGCGCAGCGCAGCGCAGCGCAGAGCAGAGCAGAGCAGAGCAGAGCAGAGCAGAGCAGACCAGACCAGAGGAGAGCGTTCCAGTGAGGGCACTGTCTGTTTGCCCCGGTGTGCCCAGCAGTTGTCCTGCAGTCGTTCCCCAAAGCTTCGGAGCTCCGCTGCGGGGCCGCGGCCCAGGCCTGCCAGCCACAGTGGCACTGTCCCTCAATGGCAGCTTCATGCAGCGGTAGGCAGCTGACTTGCCCAGCTGTGGAACACCGCCACAGACTCGTCATAGGGCTCCTCATTCATAGAGAATCCCCGGTGTGCATGTGCAAACCGGGTTAACAGATGGCTCCTGGGGAAAGACTCCCTGCAGCACGGAAGACCTTTGCAGACCAGCCGATGCAGACTGGTTTTGAGATGTATGAACTGTAAGGAGGCGACTCCACTGCCAATCTGTATGAATACCACTGTTCTGATGAGCTGCAAGACAGGACCTCGCACTTAACATGGCCGTCTACCGGAGCTCGACATCAGAGGATGCGAGTGACAACGCTCAGCCCTAGCACCGTCGGACAGGTGCTTGCCCGCCTCTGGAATCACCAGCCCGAAGTCACTGGAGGCCCTGAGTAGACTCACATGCACATGTCTTGACATGTGCCCACATTGCACGGTGTGGGAAACATGGAGGCTGCCCTGGAAGCTCTACAGCTCAGTGGGGGAGGGAGAAGAAAAGAGGGGATGCCGCGCAAAATGGTGCCTGGAGTCGACCGATCCAATGGAAGCCATGCGCTGGCTCTGAGTCTCAGAGGAGGCGACTTGGTTGTTTTTGCTGGATGTCCATCTCCGATCTTGAATCCTCAGCTCTTTAAGCCTGATGTCCGAATGATGTCCCTGGTTTGCGCATGGTTGTTCTACAGCTGCCATCTGCCAAGCCCATCTGCGAACAGAGCGCTTCCTTTGTCACAATGGAAGCACACACGCGCATGAACGGAGAAAGAGGGCAAAAGCCGCATCAGCACTGTCCTCCTCCTCTGGACTTCAGTTCACGCTCTGGCCCCTTGTTTTCCACCATAAGAACCTGGTCTAAAGTGAACCTGGCCTAGGTCAGGCAGTTGGGCTGGATAGGATGACCAAGTATTCTTACCTCAGAGCAAGCTTGCCTCTTGCCTATCGTCTGCAGGAGACGTCACTACTATTCTCGTGCAAGGGCAATTCATCATTGCGAATCGTTGCAGTCATGCTGCAGGTTTGAGCACTTGTTTGCACCCTTCTCAGCGTGGTGGTGTGCGTGACCGGTGTTCGCGAGGAGAGTTGTCCGGAACCTGAAAGGCAGTGCTGGCCAAGCAAAGCACTCGATAACATGCCAGGACAGCGATGCCCCAACTAATCCAGCCAAGATGACAGAGGTAATGACTTGCGCCACCTCATGGTACAAAGCCTGGTGCGGTGCAGCGCTCAGCGAGCCATGAAAGCTGCAACTCTGTATTGTGTTTTGATCTGCATTGCCTACCTTGAAGCGCTGGCGCAGCGCAACGATGGCACGCTCCAGTGACACCTCGACATGACTCATGCTTGCCAGGACTTCAGCGCCGGGGTATCCGCTGCACATGTCAACAGCTGCGTTCCCGGCTTCGCGCCCTGCGACGAAGTCTTGCCAGAACTCTGTTCGGGAGGCTGCTTCTGGCCTGCTGTATGCACAGAATGACGCAGACAACGACACATGCAACGCAGAAGGCCGACAGGAGGGCGGCAAGCGCGAAAGAACATGAACTCTACAGAACCGAACTGCCCTCTGGTGCCTGATCACGTTGGCAAAGAACGAGCCTGGAGATGGACAGGACTGGTTGCCAGCGTCAGCAGAACCACGCAAGACAACCCACAGCAGGGAGCGCTTGACAGGCACCCCGTAGTGCTTCCACCCCCCGCCCCCCTCTGCCGCCCCTGCCCCCCGAGCGTCAGCAGCATCATCACGGCGCCGTTTATCACGTAAGACCATCGCTTCACGGCTCACGAAGCTCCCAAGCAGCTTTCGTGACTTGAGGTTTGTATGCTGGATGCCTACTCGCCCAACATCCTTGACAGTACCTATGCTACTGCGCCGGGCCGATAGTTCGACCCACCAACATCTTGGGGTTCTTACACCCTTACCCCGCCCTCTTCCCCATAGACTCCTGACACAATGGGGCTGGGGGCCTCCTCCGGAGCTTCTATAGTACTATATTTTCAAAACGGGGTATTAATTTCTCCGCTAGCAGGCGCAGGGAAAATGCGACTTTTCGGCACTCCGCTACTTCGCGGGAGCCTTCACCGTCTGCATGCCATCCAACATGTGCCGTGGGTCGAAACTTTCGGCCCGGGGGTGTAGAGACAAGTGGGCAACAGCTGCCACCACATGCTGCCAGGCGACGTTCAACGTCCTCCAGCACCTGCAAGAGCTTCTCACCCTGCTCGGGAGTCCTGTGCCAGACACAGCCTGGGCACTCAGCACATGGTTCCAAGCACTTGCCCTCTGTCCTGGGCCCTCTGAACTGCAAGAGGGCCGCGCCATCATGCATGTCCACAGCAGCACTATGCACCTCCAAGGCGAGGCAGATATCTATCCGGGACCATCAGCATGTTGAACAACAGCCTAGATCTAGAGTCTGAGTCTGGCATCCTAAAAAACAGCGCGTTAAGCAATTGTTCAAGGGCTTAGAGTTGGAGTTCGGGCTCAACAGGGTTAAAAAAACGAAGATGATGGCGGTGAGAACGTTGCCAAGGCTTAAGGCTTAAGGCTTAAGGCTTAAGGCTTACGTATTAAGGTGCGAAAGGGAGGGAAAGGCAAACAACCAAAACAAAAAACAACTACTGTGGTTCGTGAGTTGAGGTGAGCTGGGTTCTCTCCAAGACATAGGGAATGACTTCAAGAGCACGTTTGCGAGCCGAGGCTTTTCGCTCAGTTGGCAGCAGATCGGCCTCAAAAAGGGGGGGTTCCACAATCCATTCCTGATTGCAGTTTAAATAAATGCAAGCTCGAGTCCATTCCTGACTTTTGATTCAAGAAATGGGAGATTCCAAAACCATCCATTCCAGGATGTTTTCAAACTTCTTGATTGCTTTCTTGCAGGAAAAGGAAAAAAGGGCCTCCAAAGCGCGGTCCTGAATTCCAAAGTCCATGCCTGTTTTTTCTGTTTCAAGATAAGGGGTCGAGTGGAGGGGTCGGGCAACAGAAAAACACTCCTTTACTTCGAGCATCCCCACTCTAGAGGTTGCCTGACCTTGGAGCCACCCTGACGCTTTGAGACAGGTAATTACGGAGACCTGGGTGGAACTCTCTGGGTGGGTACTCCAAGTACTCCAAGGACATTCAGTGGGACTCTCTAAGCGGTTCTCTCGACTTCTCTGGGGGGGGGGGCACTCCAGGGATACTCGGCGTTACTGATTTCGGGCTTCTCTAGGTCCTGGCACTCCGGGATACTCGGCGAGACTCTTTGTGGGCTTCTCTGCTCTTTTGGGATATACTCGGCGGGATTCCCCGCATCTGCGCTGCGGGGAGACCAATGGAACAGGTGGACCCCCTCCCTGCCGGCTGGGTGCAGCAGAAACACATTTCAGAAACACATATTTTGGGAACAGATGTCCGGAACACCTAAAAAAAGGACATTGATATCATCTGGCAAGGCAAAATATTTGGGCAACCATTTGCGCAACAGTGGCTGCACGGGCAAAAGCATGCTAATGCCTGGCATCAATTTTTATCCGAAATCAAATTCCTGGGCAGGGGTAATTATCTAGTAGGTCTTGCGCGGCTTTCTGAAGACTGTTTGCATGGCTTTCCGCGGGGTCAGGCCCTGTCAGACGCACTTTTCTTAACACACCGTTGATCCTAGTGCACAGCGAGGCAGGCTTTGGCCTTCTTCAGGTGATCCTGGATGGCAGCACATCTCGACCTTGGCACATGTAGCCTGTTCTCACATGCTTAGCTGCAGGACAGCAGGCACCTGCTAGTCTGCATCAGAGAAAGCTGCCCCCTAATCTCCTGCCTCCCGAGCGCCAGACTCAAAAATGCCTGCCTCATCCCTGTTGGAACGATTGCCGGTGTGACGCCTACATCGCATGACAAAGCCAAAGTGGCACAGCCAGCAGCACGGGACAGCTCTGCCATCTTCAACTCTTTTCGCTGCCATCGAAAATTGAGTGTGAAAATCGATGAAACGTCGATTCTTGATGCACCGCTTCTTGCGCGGCCAAGCTTCCCTCCAGGACAACGCAGGCTGCAAGTGGCGACTCTAAGCTGAGGTCAAGCCAGACACAAATGCCAAGCAACTCGACAAGTGTCCAGAATCCCGTACTACACAAATTGTCCGAGCTTCTCGGATCAGGGTCGCATTAGCGCGGGCTCCTCATCAGGCTTTAGGCGGCGCGCGACCAGCGCGGCCGAGTTGCCGCCAGGGTGCAACCAGTCAGGGAGGTCACCCAGAGGCCCGAGCATGGGGATCTGCCAAGTACTCAGGTGCATTTGCTAAACCACGCTGCCCTTGTGGGCAGACCAGCTTCAACACCAGCACATTGGGGCACTGGGTTTTGTCTATCTCTTTACTACTGCAGCATCAGGCCTCGTACACGCAGAGGCCAGCTTCAGTGTCCAAAAAAGGAATTGGACATGTAGAAAGGCTGTCAGGAAATGCTACTCTTGCCAGGAGGGTCAAGTAGAGCTCCTGAGATAAAGCGCAAGCGTCATGATGCTTGAGTAGGGCTTCTCAAGAGACACCCTTGACCAAGCGGACATCCCTGATTTATCGGTAGCTTTTACTCTTGCACTGTTCTCGCGCATGGATACTTCTCTGAACATGACCGTTTCTTTTCTAACTGCATCGAGAGAAGCATCTGCACCTTTGTCGGGAGGGGGGGTGGGGAAAAAGCCCTCCTTTTTCTACTTCTCACAGGACGATTGGGTCCCAGAAGACGCCACATAAATTCGGCTCCCAGGCGCCAAGGATGCTTGGAGCTTGATCTTCTGGTCGCTGCCATCAGGGCTCGGAACTTCAACTTCGAAGACTCGCTCCAGTCCGAAGCCTCATGTGTCTCAGCCCACTGTAACAACATGCACCGACACAGTATATCTATAATTCTTAGTTATTGGATGTGCCTACACTAGGTTCCGCTAGACTAGAGCTCACATAGGACAAGATTCGCTCAAGGACCCACTTCAGCGCGCCGAACTCCAGGAGCACTGGCGTGACCAAAGCCGCACCAAAAGACGCTAGGCGGCTGTTGATGAAGCCGCCATCGATGCGCCCGACATCCTCAAACAGGCTTCGAGTTCACGTGCACGGCACCCGAAAACCCTAAACCCTAAACCCTAAACCCTAAACCCTAAACCAGCCCAACTCCAAACTTGATGACCATCCCGTCATGAACCTGGGGGTATCGTACCCTTTCGAGCCCCAAAATTGAGACCAGGTGGCCGATCGAGGTTTGGGGCCGATGTCGATCCAGTATCCTCGGGGCTGCAAGTTGCATTTCGCAGCCTCTCTCTATATGTGTATATATATGTTAATATGTACTGATTTATGTCTGTTGTAATACACAGCCTTGGCTTAAGACAAGCACACAGGAGATTCTGCCACATTCTGCTTCGTAAACCTGAGCCGCTCAACTTTTGAATTTGGCGAGGGATTTCAGCTGCCAATTGAGAAAGTTCGAGGGCAACCAGCCTTCAAAAAGAAATCCAGCCCCGTAATCTCTTTTACGGGGTTCCCCATCCCCTTTCTTAAGTTTAAGAAGCTGAGCGGCTGGATTCTCATTTGAGGGTGGGCGTGGGGGAAGTTGAGCCACCCCGCAGCAGGCTGGCAAAGAGATTTCCCTCATTGGCCCAGAATCTGGGTTTGGGGTTTAGCGGGTTTTGAGAGTGGAGGGGCTGTCCCCCCAGGGTGTGAGGGAAAATTGACATTCAGCAACTGGCTCAACTTATTGGACGAAGAAGTCGAGACCACCCTCAACTTGTTAAGGTGATTGCTTCACAAATTTAACTAATGAATCGAGGGTGCCCACATGGACAATTCGACGTTTCTTGTCCCCCGTAGCAACACCAGTTAGTTCTTTGCACTCTCCATATATTCTCCAATGCAGAAAGGTCTCGAGTGAATTGGATCAACACCTGTGGCACGACAAGAGCATGAAGCCCCGAAAAACAGAACAAAAAAAAATGAGAAAAACAAAAACCTCGGCATGCTTGATGCAAGTCAAGCTCCACCTGACTGGAGCCCTCTGAAGTCGGCTCCTGACAAGACAAGGACGTCTGGCCTCTTGTCAAGCACTGTGCGTTCCCATACTTAGAGGTCAAACAAAATTTCCCCCAAAAAGCACTTCAAGAGCATCCCGAGCCTGAATCCCTGGAAACTCTGCCTTTGCATGACAAGAGTCTGCCGGGACCAGCTCTCCCGCGCATGACGTCCACAGATACGCACCAAAGAGCCCCAGAGGCAAGCCACCTTAGCAGCCGACCAAAGCTCTCACATAGGCTGCCCATGCTGTCCGGAGCTGCGGACTGTAATCTCTTGGGGCAAGACTGTGTGCCGCAACCACAGGTGGTTCGTCTTTCTCTCCTGGAAGCACCTTTCAGCGGTAGACACGTAAGACTCTCACCGCAGGCATAACGGCCTTGACCTTCTGCAGATTGACGGCAATCCGAATTAGAATAAATGCACGGCACGGGATGCACTACCACATCACGCATGCGGCCTCGAGCCACAAACACTGGGGTGGGATGCCCCACTTCTGCAAAGGTGTGAAAGCGCCACTCCACACCTGAACAAAATTGTCAAAAGTGACGCCCATCAATCCCAAATTCATGGTGGGCATTTGTCATGGCAGGGGATGTGCCAGCCGGGTGTCTTTCGCTCTGAAACATCTTGCCTACATGTTCTTCAGGGCTCCAGTTACCGTCAGGGCTGCCCGATTTCGAGACAGCTGGTAGCAATTGAAATTGAGAGCTTTCAGAACGCAACGGTCCTGCTGTTTAAGTATGCTTCTTCCAAGTGCTAGAGCTGTGTTCCCCGTACCCGGAAGCACAAAAACCATCCAACACCCCAACTCCGAAGACTTCGGAGAATGCTCTTCAACTTTTGAACCCTTTGTTCGCTTTGGAACCCACCAGGCTCTCTCAGCTTCACTCAAGTCACCCATACAGTGGACTCGAAGTGAGCCTGCGCAACAAGCCAAGGACTCCAGGCTTAACTTTCTCCTGTAGTGGGTGGAAAGCATACCCGGCAAGGCCAACCCAAGGTGGAAGGATTTGAATCAATGACAAAGAGCAGTTTCCCATCGGCCAGCGATGCTCTCGATGGCCTTGCAGCACGCGCACTTCGGAGACACACACACACACACACACACACACACACACTGTGCATGTCTCCGACTGTACCCAGCTTAAAGAAGAAAGACACATGCATGATAGCTTGTCTGTTGGCACATGGTGAGGGAGCTCGGCCGATCTTGACAGTGCACGACAGCATGCTTATAGGTTCAGAGTTCCCCTGCAAAGCGCATAGGACGGCAGGGAAGGCACAAAGACATAGGGTGTCAAAAGTGCGAACGCTCGCTGCTTTCGTCTGAGTACTGTATTTGTCCTTGCGTAGCTCATATACATGGAAGGCTCTCCCGAGACAGTCCTTAATCCACTTCCCACAAAGAGGCGTTGGATTTGCCATCTGTATCCTCGGAGCTCGACTTGCATAGGAAAACCCGCCTTCGTAGGGTTTGCTGCTGCATGCCTCGATTCTGAAAATCGAAGAGCTGCCTCCACGACCTGCACGATCGCACCGAGCTGACAGGACCGAGGCTTCGACACAGCCATCGAGGCATGAAGGGGCTGGAGAGGCTCTCAACCCCGGCCCAGAAGAAGGCCGCCTTTAAACCTTAAGCTGCTCATTAGCTTCGTAGGGCACGCTCCAGCCTCAGGGAGCTCAGCTGAGCATTTCCCGCCGTCAATGGCACCTCTCTTGAATCTTGAAGTTTACCGCTCCCGCGAATGAAAGGGCAAAAACTCAGCTTACTGGCAGCATGCATTCTTATAGATCTCCAACAGAATCAAGCATCTCGGAGCAAGCAAAAAAACCGCGTTGCCTTGCAGTGCGTCTCTAAGTGCTGCAGCATCGGCAGCGACTTTCGGTGTGGATGACGCCTCAATGGACAGCCATGCCAAGCACTCGGAAAGAGACCTGGGTTTAGGGTTTAGGGTTTAGGGTTTAGGGTTTAGTGTTTAGGGTTTAGGGTTTAGGGTTTAGGGTTTAGGGTTTAGAGTTTAGGGTTTAGGGCTTAGGGTTTAGGGTTTAGGGTACCTTTAGGTAAAAGGACCTACTATGGAATGCCGCCTTGCGAACTTGTTCTCGTCTTTGGGAATGCAAGTCTTGGATGTCTGCGGCAAAACCAAACCTCGGTTGGCAACTCTGCAAACATCGCAGCTCATGTCTCTCGCATACACTCCACGCACGTTGTGTGCAAAACTATGCTGTCGACATTTCCCGCTGGAGTGTCTGAGCGCACGGCCATGGAAGTACGGTGGTGAAGTCGTTGAACTTCTCTTCTATGGATTTCTCGTGGTCCTAGTTTTTTGCGGAGACGGGCAACGGAACACAGCCCTCATCAAGGTTGGCAGCCTTGTCGGCTTCTGCACGAAGGGGAGTCCGCGGCCTTTGAAAACAGTGAATGGTCGAATGTATGCTGCAGCAATGGTTGCCAACAGCTCTCGAAAGCCTTCGGCCGTCTGTGCCACTCTGGCACCATCGAGCAGAAGCAGCTGCCAATGCTGCGACCACGGCTCCATGACAGCTCGAAGATGGTCTCGCCTCCACTATCAACATGCATCGAAGTATCTGGCAACAACTGCAACAACTAGGTCGATTCGAAGCCTTTGATGGTGCTGGCTGAGGTTCGCTCTCGACCAGGCTTCTTTATCTCCTTCTGCCTGTAAAGTCTGCCAGAGAGCGCCAGCTTTGCTGGTGCTCCGCTTCGTAGGCAACGGACGAGTGTGGCCATATTAGGCACGGCCATGCGCTGTTTACGGCGAGTCCGCGCGGAAATCTACATCGAACTTTGCGGCCAAT